TATGAAGTCATGGTTTTTTCTTTATATGCTAGAGTATGCTAGTTGGAGAGCTAATCACTGGAAGGGAAAGAGTTTGTAGGAAGTACAATCTTGTAATTAAAGAACAGGATTGAGTCTTTGTCTATATTGGGGCTTTTAGTCACTGGTGTATAGCTATACCAATGCAATGCAAACTTCTAGTACAGACTTTTGCAATGCTGTACCTTAGCCTGTTTTCTGGTCCGTGTAGCTGCATTGCACCAGTAGGGGTTTGCATTGGTGCTGCTACACCAGAGGCTTAAAACCCCTGTATAGATAAGGCCCAAGGGTCCAGAGCTCCATGTTGTGCTCCTGACTCTGCCACAGACTTGCTAGGTGACCTTGCTTTGGTGGTTGTTCCTATTACAGAAGCACATAAAGGCTCCAACCAAAAGAGTGAGAAGAAGTGGGGCACAAACCAGAACTACTATGTTCAGTAGTACTATTTTTTTCTCGGGCTCCGGTCCCCTTTCTTATTTGTTCCAGCTTTTTTCTTTAACACTCCACCTCAGAGCTACAACCTTCACTCATGTATAGCGCCATTGACCTCAACGGGTCTGCTGGTGTGAGTAAAGGCTAGTTGCATGAGTAAGAGTTCTCAGGATCAGGCCTCTAGCTCACGGAGATGTTAGGAGATCCCAACATGGCATTCATGTACACATAACTTTCTAACAAGATTTAGCCCTGGTTGCATTGCAACAGGCCAGTGCAGCATTGCGCGTGACACCGGAGCACGGCACCCTAACTCTGTGTGTATCCCAACAACACGAAGGACCAGATTTTTGGAAAGTGCTCAGTGGAAGAACAAGGGAAGCTGCTGAGCACTGACTGCTGAACAATTCTGAAAATCTCTCTGGTGATTTTCCTTCTTTGAGTGCTGGGGCCTGTGTGTATTCTGCAGTGGGTACATGTGCGCGCCATGCACCCGGAACTGGAAAATTCTTGAAAACCAGGTCTGTTGGGCCCCACATTTGCCTTCACTCTCCTCATGCTTCCAACCAAGGAGATAAAGGGCAGAGTGGACTGACCACCTCTCCCGTTCCTTCCTGTCACTACATGGCCTGGGTCGGAACCTCCACTGTCCAAGCTTCATCTTCCTTTATTCTTCAATCTGTAAATACATAGGTATATATTTTTTGTAAATAGTTAAAGAATTTTATCTGATAGTTCTTATCTAAGTTTGATAGTTAGTTAGATTCCCCATCCTGGGGAATTACCCTTTCTCTCCCCCCCCCCCCCCACTCCCTGCCCGGTTGTGGGTACTGGACTTTGCCCAGGACCCCGGGTTTCAAATTCTGTGCTGCTTGTTCACGCTCCTTCTCAGTCAGCAACAAATATGAATGCTGCCTATGCTGCCTCGGGGGAAGCTCATGTTGTGGCCAGGCCCAGTATCTGCCACTTGTTCCCCACTCGTGTCCGTCAAGGGCAGGATCTTTGCCTTAAGAAGCACCTAATGGAGACGACCGTGAGGCTACAGTCAGACAAAGGCCAAGAGACCCCACTGCCTACATCAGCAAGGACTGCACCTGCTGCTGTGAGATCCAACTTAGGAGCAAGGGAATTTATCCCCACAGATCCCTCACTGGGGACTTGTTGGGAGGGCAGGGAGCATTCTCATAAACACTCTAAATCTGCTTCAAAGAAGTTAGGTACAGCCCTGCCTAAGTCGAGTCTTCCTGCTCAGCCCATGGGGACTTAGAATGTCCTAAATCACAGGGTCGTGGCAAGACAGCCCACAAATCCAGGGCTGTATCAGTACCAGATTGCGCGCTGCGGGCAGCAGTGCCTCCAGTACCAACTAAGCCTTCAGCTCCGGGAACCGACTGCACCAACAAAATGAAACCGTCGGGAGCCTCAGCCACCAATGGTACTGGCTCTGCCTTGCCCGACAGCGGCACACACTGTAACGGCTCCAGCTCTGACAGGGCCCCTCACACTCCATGAAGAGTAGAGTCTTATGCTCCGCCCGAGGACATTTTTGCTCTCCTGGATCCTCAATCTCCATCTCGATCAGGTCCCTCTCCAGGGAGGTCCTGACTCCACCAAGAGATGCAATTTATGGGCGGAGTCTGTTTCCTATTCCAGCTTCCAGCCATGGTTTCCCTCCAGCGGAACTGTTGGTTCTGCCAATAGATCCAAAATCAATATTTTCTTCCTTGGGAGCCTCTAAACTCTGAGGAACCAATGTCTCCTCCTCTGGGACATTCCTTCCCAGACAAGGGACCTGGGTCAGTCTGGAACCAATCTCTGCCTAAGCACCTGCCTTGGAACCCCATGCCCTGGAGTCCTCCACAATCACCCTTTGACCTGTCTTACTGGCTATAGTGGGGACTGTAGGACCCATACCACCCTGCAGAGACAACATGATCCACTAGGAAGTCAGTCCATCTTTCCCCTGTGAGAGGACAGGCAGCACTTCCTCCTGACCGCCTGGAAGAGGAGAATTATGCAGCAGATCTGGCAGTTCCGCTGGTACCAGTGAGGCTGTTCTCATCATTGAAGGAAGCAATTGCTCCAGTATCCCCATCCTCCCCAATGACCATACACAATTCCAGGAACTGTTACATATGGCGTCAGAGGAGTTACAGATCTTCCTGGGGGGGTGGTAAGTTCAGGATTCTCAGCATAAACTCCTGGACATCCTCCAATTCTCTGGATCAAGCCGAACCAGCTAGAACAGTCTGGTATATCCCCAAGATCTGGGCCCCTACCCCAAGAGGCCAGAAAAATGTTATTTTGTCCCAGCCAAAGGGGTATAATTTCTCTTTTCTCATCCTGCTCCTAACTCCTTGGTTGTCCAGGCTGCTATGGAGACATCTGGCCAGCAACAGCCTAGATCCAATCTGGTCAATAAAGGGATAAATGACTCAATTTATTGGGAAGGACGGTCTTCACTTCTATTCACCTTTGGTTCAGAATAGTCAATTACCAAACACTGATGGCTAAGTATGAATTATTATAAATTCATTGACTTTATTGCATAGCTTCTGCAACAGGACAGAGCTCAATTTCAGGCTGTCACTAAGGCAGGCAATCTGGTTGCCAGGACCACTCTTCAGTCAGCAGTAGATGCAGCAGATACATCTTCAAAGGCAATGGCTACTGCCATTACAATGTGCCATGAATCATGGCCTCCCACTGTGGGGTTTTCCACGGAGGTCCTGCCCTTTGTTGAAACTCATCTTTTTAACCAGAAGCCAGATGAATCCTTACACACTCTAAAGGACTCCAGGGCCACCCTCCATTCCTTGGGAATATATACACCTGCCCTGAAGAGAAAATTCTACAGGAAGGCAGTCACACAAGCCTAGACCGATGGCTCAACAATTTTACTACCAGCTGCCTTGTGAGCCAACACATACGAGGCAAAGGGTTCAGAAGTCCCATTTCCCTGTACCTTCTGCAACAACAACACTCCCAGGATGCAACGGGGTAGAGTATCTGTGAGCTCCCTCACTCCTACATGCAGCCAAAAGAAGTCATTATGTGTGCTACTTATTCCCTGAAAGACTGAAGTAATATTTAAAGCTATCTTCTCCCCTCAGATACATGTGCATGACTTCTGAGGGCAGCATCCTACTCATGGCACTCTTCATCTTCAAAAGTGCTTTGCAACCATTACTACAGTACATTAATTAAATGTTCTCTCCTTCCTTCCTGCTAACAAGGTTTATTAAGCTGCATGTATTTATCTTTGGGCAACTCCTACGAGTAATCAAATTAATAAGTTTCCTGCCAAATTTAATAGTGAAGACCTGAAGAGGCACAGGGACTGACAGGAAGAGGGGAAAGCAAATAAAGCCTTGCTGAGACAAGAGGGGCACAAAAGTCACTGGGCCAATTTCCCTCCACTTAATGCTGTAATCATCCTCTGTTGCTTCCATCTGGTGGCTTTGCATCCTTTACTTCTTCCCCCTTCCCCTCTACTCTACATGCACAAACACATGCAGAAAAAAACCCTTGGTCCCATATGACCTTGTCAAGGGGGAGAGATTTTTCAGGCAAACACTAGTTATAGGACTCAATATAGGGGTAGCTGGGTGAAATTCAATGGCCTGTGATATACAGGAGGTCAGACGAAGTGATCTAATGATCCCTTCTGGCCCTAATCTCTATGAATCTATGAAATGAAAACATTCTTAAACACCATGGTTGAACATCTGTCCCCTGGCATTTATCCATGAAGTCCAGATCCAAAGTTCAGGTTTGATCTACAAGAGTATGCCCTGGTCTACACTAGGACTTTAGGTCGAATTTAGCAGCGTTAAATCGATTTAAACCTGCACCCGTCCACACAATGAAGCCCTTTATTTCGACTTAAAGGGCTCTTAAAATCGATTTCCTTACTCCACCCCTGACAAGTGGATTAGCGCTTAAATCGACGTTGCCGGCTCGAATTTGGGGTACCGTGGACACAATTCGATGGTATTGGCCTCCGGGAGCTATCCCAGAGTGCTCCATTATGACCGCTCTGGACAGCACTCTCACCTCAGATGCACTGGCCAGGTAGACAGGAAAAGAACCGCGAACTTTTGAATCTCATTTCCTGTTTGGCCAGCGTGGCAAGCTGCAGGTGACCATGCAGAGCTCATCAGCACAGGTGACCATGATGGAGTCCCAGAATCGCAAAAGAGCTCCAGCATGGACCGAACGGGAGGTACGGGATCTGATCGCTGTTTGGGGAGAGGAATCCGTGCTATCAGAACTCCGTTCCAGTTTTCGAAATGCCAAAACCTTTGTGAAAATCTCCCAGGGCATGAAGGACAGAGGCCATAACAGGGACCCGAAGCAGTGCCGCGTGAAACTGAAGGAGCTGAGGCAAGCCTACCAGAAAACCAGAGAGGCGAACAGCCGCTCTGGGTCAGAGCCCCAAACATGCCGCTTCTATGATGAGCTGCATGCCATTTTAGGGGGTTCAGCCACCACTACCCCAGCCGTGTTGTTTGACTCCTTCAATGGAGATGGAGGCAATACGGAAGTAGGTTTTGGGGACGAAGAAGATGATGAGGAGGAGGTTGTAGATAGCTCACAGCAAGCAAGCGGAGAAACCGGTTTTCCCGACAGCCAGGAACTGTTTCTCACCCTAGACCTGGAGCCAGTACCCCCCGAACCCACCCAAGGCTGCCTCCTGGACTCAGCAGGCGGAGAAGGGACCTCTGGTGAGTGTACCTTTTAAAATGCTATACATGGTTTAAAAGCAAGCATGTGAAAGGATTACTTTGCCCTGGCATTTGCGGTTCTGCCTTTGCAAAAGGTTTCTGGGGAGGGCAGCCTTATTTCGTCCTTCATGGTAGGACACTTTACCACTCCAGGCCAGTAACACGTACTCGGGAATCACTGTAGAACAAAGCATTGCAGTGTATGTTTGCTGGCATTCAACCAAAATCCGTTCACGCGGTGGGAGGAGGCAAAATGCGACCTTGTAACGAAAGCACATGTGCTATGTATGTAATGTTAACAGCAAGGTTTACCCTGAAAGAGTGTAGCGACTGTTTTATAAAATGTGTCTTTTTAAATACCGCTGTCCCTTTTTTTTTCTCCACCAGCTGCATGTGTTTCAATGATCACAGGATCTTCTCCTTCCCAGAGGCTAGTGAAGCTTAGAAAGAAAAAAAAACGCACTCGTGATGAAATGTTCTCCGAGCTCATGCTGTCCTCCCACACTGACAGAGCACAGATGAATGCGTGGAGGCAAATAATGTCAGAGTGCAGGAAAGCACAAAATGACCGGGAGGAGAGGTGGAGGGCTGAAGAGAGTAAGTGGCGGGCTGAAGACAGGGCTGAAGCTCAAATGTGGCGGCAGCGTGATGAGAGGAGCCAGGATTCAATGCTGAGGCTGCTGCAGGACCAAACCAGTATGCTCCAGTGTATGGTTGAGCTGAAGCAAAGGCAGCTGGAGCACAGACTGCCACTGCAGCCTCTCTGTAACCAACCGCCCTCCTCCCCAAGTTCCATAGCCTCCACACCCAGACGCCCAAGAATGCGGTGGGGGGGCCTCCGGCCAACCAGCCACTCCACCACAGAGGATTGCCCAAAAAAAAGAAGGCTGTCATTCAATAAATTTTAAAGTTGTAAACTTTTAAAGTGCTGTGCTTAAAGTGCTGTGTGGCATTTTCCTTCCCTCCTCCACCACCCCTCCTGGGATACCTTGGTAGTCATCCCCCTATTTGTGTGATGAATGAATAACGAATGCATGAATGTGAAGCAACAATGACTTTATTGGCTCTGCAAGCAATGATTAAAGGGAGGAGGGGAGGGTGGTTAGCTTACAGGGAAGTAGAGTGAACCAAGGGGCAGGGGGGTTCATCAAGGAGAAACAAACAGAACTTTCACACCGTAGCCTGGCCAGTCATGAAACTGTTTTTCAAAGCTTCTCTGATGCGTACCGCGCCCTCCTGTGCTCTTCTAACCGCCCTGGTGTCTGGCTGCGCGTAACCAGCAGCCAGGCGATTTGCCTCAACCTCCCACCCCGCCATAAACGTCTCCCCCTTACTCTCACAGATATTGTGGAGCACACAGCAAGCAGTAATAACAGTGGGAATATTGGTTTCGCTGAGGTCTAAGCGAGTCAGTAAACTGCGCCAGCGCGCCTTTAAACGTCCAAATGCACATTCTACCACCATTCTGCACTTGCTCAGCCTGTAGTTGAACAGCTCCTGACCACTGTCCAGGCTGCCTGTGTATGGCTTCATGAGCCATGGCATTAAGGGGTAGGCTGGGTCCCCAAGGATACATATAGGCATTTCAACATCCCCAACAGTTATTTTCTGGTCTGGGAATAAAGTCCCTTCCTGCAGCTTTTGAAACAGACCAGAGTTCCTGAAGATGCGAGCATCATGCACCTTTCCCGGCCATCCCACGTTGATGTTGGTGAAACGTCCCTTGTGATCCACCAGAGCTTGCAGCACTATCGAAAAGTACCCCTTGCGGTTTATGTACTCGGCGGCTTGGTGCTCCGGTGCCAAGATAGGGATATGGGTTCCGTCTATAGCCCCACCACAGTTAGGGAATCCCATTGCAGCAAAGCCATCCACTATGACCTGCACATTTCCCAGGGTCACTACCCTTGATATCAGCAGATCTTTGATTGCGTGGGCTATTTGCATCACAGCAGCCCCCACAGTAGATTTGCCCACTCCAAATTGATTCCCAACTGACCGGTAGCTGTCTGGCGTTGCAAGCTTCCACAGGGCTATCGCCACTCGCTTCTCAACTGTGAGGGCTGCTCTCATCTTGGTATTCATGCGCTTCAGGGCAGGGGAAAGCAAGTCACAAAGTTCCATGAAAGTGCCCTTATGCATGCGAAAGTTTCGTAGCCACTGGGAATCGTCCCAGACCTGCAACACTATGCGGTCCCACCAGTCTGTGCTTGTTTCCCGAGCCCAGAATCGGCGTTCCACAGCATGAACCTGCCCCATTAGCACCATGATGCATGCATTGTCAGGGCCCATGCTTTCAGAGAAATCTGTGTCCATGTCCTGATCACTCACGGGACCGTGCTGACGTCGCCTCCTCGCCCGGTATCGCGTTGCCATGTTCTGGTGCTGCATATACTGCTGAATAATGCGTGTGGTGGTTAATGTGCTCCTAATTGCCAAAGTGAGCTGAGCGGGCTCCATGCTTGCCGTGGTATGGCGTCCGCACAGAAAAAAGGCGCGGAACGATTGTCTGCCGTTGCTCTGACGGAGGGAGGGGCGACTGACGACACGGCTTACAGGGTTGGCTTCAGGGAGCTAAAATCAACAAAGGGGGTGCCTGTACATCAAGGAGTATTTCAGGCAGGACTGCACGGAGGGTTCCAATAAGAAATGGTGCACCTAAGTTATCGTTGTTATTGGAACAAGGAGGTTAGCCTGGCCTCTGATTGATACATGGCTAGATTTACCTCGCTGCACCTTCTCTGTGAGTGACTGCAGTGTGACCTAGAGGAATGAGTCCCCTAGACAGGGGAGGAGGCAAATGAGTACAAAACAAATCTGGTCTATTTCTTGTTTTGACCCACTCCATCTATCTTTTACATCTTTGGCTGGCAGCAGACGGTGCAGAAGGACTGCATGCCATCCACATCTCATGGCTGCTCGCCAGAAGATGGTACAGTACGACTGCTAGCCATCCCCATCTCTTGCCTGCCTGGCAGAAGATGGTGCAATACGACTGCTAGCAATCCTCATCTCTTGCCTGCCTGGCAGAAGATGGTACAGTACGACTGCTAGCAGTCCGTATCGCCTGCCCGCTCACCATAAGACGGTTCAATAGGACTGACTGCAGGACTAAAGAGAATGACCTGGTCAAGTCACTCCAAATTTAGTCCCTGCACCCATGTCTGCCCAGGCGCTCCTGATCGACCTCACAGAGGCGACCAGGAGCACCTCAGACATGACGATGACGGCTACCAGTCGTACTGTACCGTCTGCTGCCACAAGGCAAGGGGTTGCTGCTACTGTGTAGCAATGCCGTACCGCGTCTGCCAGCACCCAGGAGACATAGGGTGACGGTTACCTGAGCGGGCTCCATGCTTGCCATGGTATGGCGTCTGCACAGGTAACTCAGGAAAAAAGGCGCGAAATGATTGTCTGCCCTTGCTTTCATGGGGGGAGGGAGGGAACGGGGGGCTGACGATATGTACCCAGAACCACCCGCGACAATGTTTTAGCCCCATCAGGCATTGGGATCTCAACCCAGAATTCCAATGGGCAGCGGAGACTGCGGGAACTGTGGGATAGCTACCCACAGTGCAACGCTCCGGAAGTCGACGCTTGCCTCGGTACTGTGGAAGCGCTCCGCCGAGTTAATGCACTTAATGCACTTAGAGCATTTTCTGTGGGGACACACACACTCGAATTTATAAAACCGATTTCTAAAAAACCGACTTCTATAAATTCGACCTTATTCCGTAGTGTAGACATACCCTTAGTGATTCATCTAGCTCTGCCATAATTAACGCTGATAAAAAAAAATTCTATTTTTTTAATGGAAAATGGCTTTTTGAGGGAAGTGAATATTTCTGTGAGAACACTTTAATTTCATTTGAAATGTCTTGGTTTTTCAACTAAACCCCCTTCACAACCCCTCCACCCCCACTCTCCCCAAAAAACAAAATCCAATGCTTGTTTGATTTTTTATTTTTATTTTTTGAAAATATGATGGGACATTCTGGGGAAAAACCATAAAAAAATTCAAAATTTCCAGTAGAAAAATAAAATCTCCTTCTCAAACATCCCTGCCCTGGAGGGTCCATCTCTAGGACTGAGGGAGTAATTGTGTCTCCATACACGTTGTCTCCTTTGTCTGTGTAGAGGCAGCCACTGAGTAGCTGCAGACTGGGAAGAGAGAGAGAGAGAGAGAGAGTGTGTGTGTAAGAAACAGAAATGTTTGTGCCCTGAGAACTGTACAGGGTTCATCAACTGCAATATGAATGGGCCAATAGGGAACCACTGATGATAGCTACTTTCAGTTACTAATTATGCAGAGCCCTATTTTTCCAGGGTGAAATCCACCCTGTGCGGAGGGGCCAGCCAGAGGCCTTTGCATCCCTTAAATCACACATAGGCCTTCCGGGTGGTCTCTGCACAAGTGTGTATTTCACCCCTGCACAGGACACCAGGAACTTGGATCCTGCAGCAGGAGAAAAGGGTCTTTGGCTTGGAGTCAAATGAGGATCTAGGGATGCAAGACTCCATAGCCCTTTATCTCGCCCTGTGCCATCCAGTCACCCAGAGGTGCTTTTAAACCTGTGTGCATAAAACCATGAGGAGCACAAGGTATGCGCTGTCATTCTTCTATGTTTTAAGATGTGACAATACATATCCACCAAGTCATTTCAGGAGCTGCACTGGAAATCAATTTGTCCCTCTAAAATATTCAGAAAAGGAAGCACTCTGAGGACTTGTCCACATGATGTGGTAATGTGCACTCCAGGGGTGTGATGTGTAGAGTGCACTCACGCATTGCGCATTAATTTGTCCATGCAGACTCTGCTGGTGCTCACTGAAGATCCCCTAGTGTGCTTTCACGTAATGCTGTTTGATTTTAAGATCCACCGAGCTCCCACAGCTCACGCTCCTGTTTGCGGGGTGCAAATCCAGGGGGCGTCGGTTGGTTGCTCAGTACTCAGGTCCTGAAGGTCGCATGGCATGTTTGGCACTATGAATAGTTACATCCGACTTTCTCCATGTCACCTTGAGTTTTTATTGGATATAGTATCTTTCACTTGCTGTCCTAAACCTTGCTGTTCAACATCTGCCACTTTCTGCCCCAAAACATGGCAGCTGTGTTTGTTTGTTTAATGGTGAGAGAAGTGATTTCTGTTTAGTAGGACTTCTGTAATGTTCGTTAGGATCTTTGGGGGGGGGGGGGGGGGGGGATGAAAAATGCTATAGAAATGCAAGTTATTATCAATATTGCAAATGACAAGCAAAGCCTCAGGTCAATATGACTATTTAAATATTCCCCATATAATGGGCCGTAATTGTGCCTGTTTAGATATTCATCAGTTGTGTGAATTAGTGCAGCGTATAACACTATGGGAGGGGAACCCAGACATCACATCTTTCTCTTGGAGATGCAGAGTATTAGAGCAGGCTAAATTGCTCAAGTGTTCCTAGGCTTTTTACCCTCTCTTTCAACAATCATCTGGATTCACTTCACTGTCTGATTCCACTGACAGCAGTTTCCTGGGGTCTCCCATGAAAATCAGAAATCCTGCAACATGTCAGTCTGATCACTGCTTTTCTTTGACACACCATCTGCCTGCAGCGCTGAACTTTGCATGACATTTCTACGGCAATGTAGTCAGTAGCAGATTAGGCAGGATCAACCAGATGGGCTGAGCTGAGTCCTAGGAGCCAAAAGAGACCCCAGAATTTCTGCAGAGACCGACCTGAACCTCCCAGAAACTAGCGAGTCATTTTGATGCCATGCGCTTGTGGCTGATCCAGGTCCCATTTAGTGTTAATCCATCCCCGGCTGCTGTGGCAATTTTATTGTACAACTCTGCTCCCGCTGTCTCAGTGACTCACTAATGGAAAATGATCCACACTTGAGAAGCCACTGTGTCCAGTGTCAATTGTCTCTTGATGTCTGTGGATCTTTGCTGGGACTAATATGATACTATGCAGATCAGAGAGATTTGTAGATGGAAACAGATTTATTTGGCTGTTTTTAGGAAAGCTGCT